AGTATATCAAATTTAATTACAGAAATACATGCAGAATTTTCTATATTCCAATCAAAAAGACTATAAAATCCTGAAAATATTTTGAATACACTGTTAATTAATCAAATTATTATTTCATATCATTATTGGATTACACAAGCTGAAAGAATAAATTAGTTTCAATAAATAAGGCAATTATATTTACAATATTTCCATCCTAAATGGGTTATATAAAAACCATTCCCTTGGTAATACATGAAAAATTCACTTTTAATCAAATTTAAAATAAAACCTGAAAATATAGGCAGGTTAAAAGATGCATTCGGCTGCATGACAGAAGTATTTTTCAAATATTATTGCAGAATCAAATGTAAATTATTATCAGTGGACAACTTTAAAAGTTATGCAAAATCATACCACCATAAACAAATAAAGCTTACACATTCAGAAAATTTCTGCGCTAAATTAGAATTTGTTCTGAATTAAAATAAAATTCTATTTTCAGGCTCTGAACACTACAATGGGTATATTATGAATACCTACACATAAAAAAAAAAAAAGAAAGAAAAAGAATTTTTAATCCTTTAAATATCAAATTGTCTCGGAAGAAAGAATTGCTTAATCTCACAATAACCACTTATTATTTTAAGATTCCATCAGGCTTGTGAATGCCAATCAATTCAAACTTTGAAATCAAGAAGAAAAATATGTTAAGAGTTTCTCAGGGATCTTTTAGTCATCTCTTATCAATCATCAGTAGGAATTTTAATTTCACACATCTCCTGGTATTCATAATTTAAAGAAATTTTAACCATTAAGCTAACTGGAGGCAAAATTAAGAAATTAAACTGATACTAATACATCAGTTTGTACTTTCTATCAAAAAATATCTTCAAAGCAAACTGATTAAAAGAAATCTACCAAAATTCTGCTCTCCAAGTTCAGGGGAAAAAAATTTCTTCAACACAGGTCAAGAGACACTTTCCCCCCCAAAAAAAATTATACATATATATATATACAATTTTCTTCGGAGAAAAACTGGACCACGCATTAATAAAAAATAATCACAATGTAAAATAAAGTTTACTTATATCTTATTTTATGGATATCTGAAGCAAGAATGGAATTTGATGCACATGTACTTGATAATGAAAAGCTACACACAAAATAAAATGTAATCAAATGAAGCATAAAAAAAAAGGGAAAGGTAAAACACCAAAACCTGTAGAAAGTAATAGATAATATAAAAATTTCTCAATAAACTACAACATGCATCTAAGCTCAGCTTTAAAAAAATCCAATTCAAATCAGGCAGTAATGTTTTTACATCCAATTTATTAAAGAAAGCTTATATTAATCAACCAGTCATTAAACTATTCCCTTTTTTTCTTATATAACTTCTACATTTTCCTAACCCTAGTATGCAAAACCCTCTTATAGTATTATCTAAAGAACGGAAACTTGAAATCCTACTTATGAATAGTATTACACATTTAAACCATGTATTTGTTTTTGAATGTCAAAACTCTTAAGAGTGACAAAAGTAGAAAACATGTCTTGGAACAATTAATTAGGTAATCTTCAAATCCAGGGTTCAACTATCAAACTAACTCATTGTTTTAATGTATATCATCAGCTTTACTTGCATTTTTAGTTAAAAAATTTCCCTTAGTCATGATATATTCTAACTTTTTTTTAATAATGAATTAGGCTTAGTTCTCCAAGAACTATTCTTTGAATAATGCATAATTTATAGTTTGTGACTAAGTGTTGCCCTTTAGACATCGTCAAACCAATACTACAAATTCATTTTTTAAAATTAGTTTTCCTTCAATAAAAATCTTGCTTTGACAAAATGCTTCAAGATTTCTTTTTAGGATATTTGAAGATTTCTGTAAATTATTCAGTATGTTTTTTTAATCTCATTGTTATTCTTTTATCCATCAGATTTTGGACACAAGACTTGCTTTCAACTACTACTGGTATTTTTAGTTTTGCAGGGGGGGAGACAAATTTTTATTACGTAGCTGTTTATTTCTTAATTTTGGCAAGAAATTTTTTACTGCTTGGATACAGTCGGCCTTTCATATTCCTTGTGATAGTAGAAACTATATTTTTTATACTTAAAAAAATCAAAATGCTTGTTATAACTAAAATAGTCATCAGGATCATGAAAGTATTATTTGGTTAGTTTAAATTTTAAAGTTTTCTAGCACTTTAAAACATCCAATGCCTGCAAAGAATAGTAGTACTTAATTCCAAAGTTGCAAAAGGGAAAAAAAAATTAAGCTGGTATTTTTTCATTAGCCAGCAGCATTTTTGTAGCTATTCAAGTATGATCTAATTATATACACACAACTGTTGTACATGTTTTATGTATTAATGACAATTAAAAATCAATAATAAAATCTCTAAAAATTTTTTTTCTTGAGTACACAAATATTTAGTATTAAAAAAGTAGTTTAAAATTAATCCAACATTTCTTGAAAGCATTTTTTAAACCTATGCCTGTGTTAAATTGAATCAACAGTTACAGGTGCGTATGTGTAAATGTATAAAAATATACTTCCATATTACCTCTACATAAAATAAAAGTTTAACCTTAAATAAACTATTTTCAAAGTTTATGTATATTTTTCCCAGTTAACCTACAACTCTTTACAAAGGAATCAATCGCAATGATATATGTATATACAGTACAAAGTCCGTAATCCGGACATCCATTATCCAGACTTCAAAGCCACAAACTTACGAATGCACATTTGATGCACGCGTCCGCTACGCATGCGCATCAAGCGTTTACCCATTCGTGCTTTCAATAGTTAAGAAAGTTACATTGAAAGAAACGTTTAATAAAGTAAACAAGTAAATATAATGCTTTTTTTTTTTGTAAATTTTGATACAGTCTGGATCATAATTGCTTTTTATTTCATAAATTATGGTTTCATATATTTAATTGTATAATTTATACATGCCATCTTGCAAGATTTAAATTGATAATCTATAATCCAGAATCGAAGTCCCGACGAGTCTGGATTACGGACTTTGTTCTGTATATGTGTGTGCATGTGGGCGAAGTGTGTATGCATATATATATATATATATATATATATATATATATATGAATAAATTAAATTTTATTTGATATAAAAATTACAGAAAGTTAAGAACTTCCTTGCATGCATGTACACTAGATGTTTGAAAAATATAATTACAGGCCATATTTTTGGATCCTAGACAAGTGCTAAGTTTCTTAAAATAAGCTGAAGTATTTTTTATCTTCATCATTTTTTATCACACTTTTAACCTCTTTTCACTCAGCATTTCATATATGATACGGCTGTTTTCCACCATGGGGACATCGCCCAAACATTATACAGGAACGAACTGTCACAAATGGCCCACCATATCATACCTAAAATGGAAAGTTTTATTTCAAATATTAAAATGTACAGAAATTATGCCTGAATGTTGGTAAAACTTACTGAATAGTATCTCTAAAGTGTGCTGTGATGATTATTTTATTCTATAAAAGAAAATGAGCGATGCTAACAACACACGTTCAAAATTTGGAAGCATTTTATGGAATGTAAGCAAGCTAAAAGTTTTGTAAGTTAAAGCATAGCAGAAGGCTATGACAAGAGCTGATATTTAGATTTTTAAGTATTTTCATTATTTTACAAAAATAAATGTGGGAATATAATCACCACTACTATTATTGCACTTTAATTTATTCAGAATTTTTCTTTAAGTATTAGGATTTTCTTTTTATAAGAAATATTTAAATATCATATGCAAGAACACAAATATTTGGATAAAAAGCAGGTTATGTCGGGAGTAAGGTTAAATTTTCGGGGAAGGGGGAATCTAGCTTTTTACACGACTCCATTAAGTAAGGTTTCTGTATGATTAAATACTTATGGCCTATATTAAGTGATCTATATTTTTAGCAAAAAAAAAAAAAAAAATCACTAAAATATTTAAGTTCGAAAGAATAAATTAAACTGAGTGACTTCTCAATGCCTACTTAGATATTATTGTAGATCTGAGAATTAAATTTAACAAAAACAGATGTTGCCCATGTCTTGGGTAAATGGCATTCATTATTAAATTTCCTTTCTAACTTAAAAATTATGTTAATTGAAAATACATTTAAAACCAATATGAAGAAATCCTGCGATTACTTTTCTCAAACATCCATATAAAATCATTTACTTTGTTCCTTTCTAATACAAGAATGTAAAATTTAAAAATATATATTTAAAATTCTATATTCCTGGAGATATATTTCATGTTAAGAGTAATGAATAACTGATCAGTTACTGCTTTTAAAAAGAATCCATTATTTCGATAACAATGAATTGCTAAATTGGTATAACTGTGTTGTCGGAAGTACTGTGTTTTGTATGAAGACTGCAGGTAGATAAAAAGAATGACACAGAGAGTTAAAAATTTCTTTATTTTTCAAAGGAAAAATACAAAACAATATAAAATAATTTTCATAAACAGCATTACTCACAATATACTAAAACTCAATTCTTACTTTCTAAAATACAAAATTGACTTTAAAAGAATTAGTTACCTTATTTCACCAACAAGAAAAATAAAGTGCAATAAAATTTTGATTGTAATAAGAATTTAAAATGTAAAATATAAGCATAGTGCTTAAAATTTATTTGCCCAATAAATAACCCAATAAAAGTTTGAAATACGAGTCTTAATACGTTTTGTTATGTCTTAATATTATGACATGCATCTATATATTAAGGACGAAAAGGCATAACTTGTTTCATTTTAAGAGTAAATTATTTCCAAAGGAGCTGCATCCATAATATACTATACTGCACCTTTAAGAAATGTACTGAAAATAATAATGAATAAAAGTAACTGATGCAGGATTTACAGAATCACAGGCATCCAGATACAGGGAGATGATGACAAGTTGTAACTGCAAGAAAAATAATACATGAAGAAATGAAACAAACAACATTTAAAAATTTTTTTTTAAACTTGATTATTACCTAGCTAATCTTGGCACATCTTCGACACTTCTTATTCCTCCATCCACAGAGAGAAGAGAATCAAGAGCTTTAAGGAGCTGAGCAGGATCTATTGGAGCCTGTAAATATGAATTATGACTACTGACATAAAGTGCTTAAAAACAAAAAACTGCCAGGAAAGCTATATGGAAGGATACAGTATTTAGTAATATTTTTGCTGCTCAGCACGTATAAAAATTTTTACAAAGAAATCACATTTTGCTTTAACTATAAATCATTAATTGCCAGATATTGCCATAAAATGAAGTTGTCAGAAAAAATAGTACAATATTAATCCTTTAAAGCAGGGTTTCTTAAATTGGGGGTCACCAAATATTTTAGCAGCTTTGATATTTAACTTATTATAATTTACCAAATATTTGTACGCTATGTATCTGAAAATAGATAGAGATAAGAATAGAGACAAGAAAAAAATAACATCGACAAAAGAGATTTAATGTGATCTCCAACAGTTGTATGATGAATGCCAAACTCTTCTGCAATTTCTCGACTTGTTAAATGTGGATTATTTTCCAACATGGATCGCAAAACATCATTATCGATCTTGGATGGTCGTCCAGATCGAACACTTTCTTTGAGGCTCAGGTCCCCGGAACGAAATTTGCTAAACCATCTTTGACAAGTACGAACATTTATAATATCTTTTCCAAATACCGCACATAAATTTTTACATGCAACAGATGCATTGCTTCCTTTTTGGAATTCATATAAAATGCAGTGTGGTAAATGCACTTTACCTACCGACATGTTTTTCCCTTATATTACAAGTAAATGATGAACAGTAAAAAAGGGCACCTTTTATATTATACAGCAGCTAAAAAAACAAAAAAAAAAATTCGATTGACTCACTAGCCAGATGTATTTTTTATTTACAAGAAAAATCACCTGCCTATTTAAAATAGGACAGAACTTTCCCACCAACCCGATAACTTCTCAAAGACGTACTTCAGTATTTCTACCCTCTTCACTCATAAACCATACCTCTCCTTTACCATAAATTCAAATTTGTCAATGTACAAACAGTTTCCATTTAACTACACACTAACTATTAAGACAGCTAGCTGCTCATGCATTCCGAATTACGTAGACTGGTTATATGATTTTTTAACATCATGTCTACAATTGGTACAGGTAGTGGTACATTCATAAAAATTTCTCTCGCCCTTTGTTACTTCAGAGAAACTGCAAACTGACCTTTAACCCCTTATAATTCATAAATTATTTCTACGTTTAATGGGAATTCAGACACTTTGATAACCTCCCATTATCACAGAGAACTTTAAAAAATTCCATACAACTGGGACATTCCTGAACATATGAAGCTAGTTCAAACCAGAGGTTACAATACTTTTAGTAAAGTTATTGCAAATTAATGGGCAAAAAACATTGCTCATTCTCAATCACAAGTTTTAATGATTAGCACAAGACACGGAGCTTAATTTTTAAAAACTAGAAGTTGCAAAATCCAATGGCAAGAGTGGAAAAATTTATTAAAATATAAAAAATATATTATGATAAAGGAGAAATAATAAATTAAACACAAAATTCAAATGAACAGCAAAACAAAAAGAAATAATTTGATGTATAGTAATAAGGTATTGAGGATAAAGGTATTTTTACTTCCTTATACGAAGTAAAAAGGAAGTATTGTAATCGCGAAAAGTCTCAGGCAGCATATTTCAACGAAAATATCCATTTTGACCGCTATCGAATGCAATTTAACGATGTTTCTGCGTGATATCTGTACGTAAGGACAGAACAAGATACTCTTTTCCTTCAAAAAAATTATAAAACTGCTTTAAAATTAATTCTGAAGAGAATTTTTCGCGGCGTCTGTATGAACGTATCTCGCATAACTCAAAAACGAGTAGCCTCAGAACGTTGAAATTTTGTATATAGGACTGCTATAACATGTCGATGTGCACCTCGTATTTTGGTTGCAATCGGCCATGCCAAACATATATAAATCTATTTATATATCTATCCACTCTGTTACCTGGCTCAATGGTCTCAGTTTCTTTACTCTTATATGTTTGTAAATTGCACATTTTTTGCTTTAAAAATGATTGTATTATGTTGTTTTAATCTTCCGGTTAAGGTTTTTATGCCTTTAGTAAATCTGTATGCAATATTTTTAGAATTATCAACAATTTTAAAGTTGTCTAAGTGTAGCTAAGCCTTTTTTTAATGTCGGCTATTGATGTTTACATTTGAAACAGCAGACTATCTAGAGAAACTTAGCTTTTGCCAATCTAGAGAAACTTAGCTTCGCAACAACAAAGATAATGCCTTCATTTATTATTGCGAATTAAATCATGCTTAATCCTTTCTGGAATTTTTTCGAGGAAATAAGTGTTTAAGATTTACTTCGTAATTTTTAATATAGATACTTTGAGTTTTTATGTATTTTTGCCTTTTCGCGAAATGAGAACTGAATTAATTGAATGAGAAATACTCAATCGTCTGTGAAAAACTTTTTTTTTTTTTTTTTTTTTTTGTTTTGTTTGCTTAATTTCTTTTATACATCGTTCTAGCTATATTATAGTATTTGAATAGAACATGTGACAACTATTAGATAATTCTGTTCTTTAAATGATATAAATTTTGTGCATTACGAGTTATAATATGAACTAAATATAATACTGTTAAGTGAATCTAGTGGCAGAGTGTCGCTATGGTAAACAAATACTAGAGTGAATTTTAAAGAATGCATTTATTCTATTGTGGTTTATGTGGTGTTGGCGAAGTAGATTTAATTCAATCCAATAAGTTTAAATAAAATGCAAGAAAAAATGTGTATAATTTAATATTCTGTACAAGGAAGTAATGTGGTGGTACACATCAGATTTTTTCATTTGGGAAAACATCTTTGCCTCAGTAAAAAAAAAAAAAAAAAAAAAGGCCACCAGACTTCCTTTTCTAATGGATCTTTCAGTGCTTTGGTCCTCCCACAGAAAATGAGTTTTCTTTACTGCTAAATAACATGTTGCACTAATAAGAAAATTTTTTAATTTAGTAGTCATTTAGTAACACAACGACCCCAATTATTCTCTAGCTGGAACTGATTTCAGAGGAAAATTGAGATTTGGAATCAGGTTTTGGTATAATTTAAGCCCCAACTTACATGATAAACAGCTGTATAGACATGATTTGCACATGCTTGTGCATATATTTTTAGTGAAAAATTTAAAAAGAAATGTGTTCTAAAACATCATTTAGTACTTCAAAATTCCATATTTTTAAAAATTATTATATAGTGCAGCATTGTGAAGACCCAATTTTTAATGTGGTGCATAATCATTTTGCATACCACCAGTTATTAAGTAACAAATTAATTTACTTGATTTTTAAGGATTTGGGGATCAAAAACTGCCTATCATAGCTACTTGTTTATACCTAATGAATTATGTGTACTTTGAACCATGCACTAATTAAAATCATTACACAGTTTCTTAATATTCATTCTTGTTCAAGTGAATTCTAAATTAATTTAAATAAGCAAGTTTCTTTAAATGAAAATAAACATTTAAAGGCAAGCATGTTACTTAATATTTTTAAAAGTTATATTTTTTCACACAACTTTCAACTGCTAAGCCAGATTGACTTCAAAGCTATGCAAAAAATGAACATTAAATATTAAGCAAAAATTAAAATGCGACATATTTTGCATTACACACATACAAAAAAGAAAATTACTTATTACAAAGAAAATATGCCAAGAGTAACTAAAAGCAATAAGCAAATAAAGCAGATATAATAAGCAGATGCATAATTTTAGATGAACTTGTTTGTGACATCATCCAAGTTGACTTGAAAAGATTATTTTTTTTACTTATCCTAAGGCTAGCACAGAAAAATAACACTTAATACATCCAATTTATACTTTTATGCATTGTAGCAGGAACTAAAAGTGTGGCTTTTCAGCTGTACTCCCAATCAGAAGTTTAAAGATTTACACTACTAATAAAATTGAAATAAAATGCATAACAGCTAAATAAAACTAAATATGATAAAAAATTAAATTAATAATAAAAGGAAAGCAAATTTAATTATAAAAATCTTTTACCATCTTTATTATTTCATTACTTATTCAAGAACATTCAGTCCAAACCATCTATAGCACTTTACGTATACAGTCAAAAGTCGTTAATTCAGACACCCATAATCCGGACCTCAAGCTACAAACTCTCTGCATATGCGTCGCCCATAGGCTTTTAAGCGTGCACGTAAGACCTTTACGGCTGCGAATATGTGTGTGCACATGCGCATAATACGTTTACGCATGTGCGTTTAATGTATAATGGACGGTATAAGCTAAGGTAAAATTATCTAATTCAGTTAATGTTGCAGATTGCGTTGTTCCTTAATCTTCGAATTGGATCCGGCTTATTATTTTTTGCAGACTGTTAGAGCAATTTTATAAAAGTAAGCTTGAACTTTCGATTATGTCAAATAGAATTTCCGATATATATTTATTTATATGTAAAGGATCTACAACGAAACTATGTTTCGAAGTCCATTAAACAGAAAGTGAAATTGCTGCAAAAAAATGGATAAAGGCATATCTTTTGATTATCTATCATTCCAAAATATGTTTATCAATTTCACACTGCTCTGCGCGGGGGAGGGAACCAACGCGGCACGCAATGAATTGGAAGTTGATCTGTCAGCACTATCCTTATCTTCAGGGCAGATGTTTTTATTTTATTTGGCTTATAATTCCTTACTAAATGTAGTATTTCATCTCGATGTACTCCAGTCTTTGATATGATTTAAATCAAAGTTCCTCGTCATTATAATTCGCTTCCGATAGCGAAGAAGAAAGTGACAGAGGTTATTGAAAACGAAAAAATTTCGATTGACAAATTGGTCGGTATTCTCGACACAGCAATTATAGGACTTGAACAGCGGGAACTTTGTAACTGAACAAGAAATTATGTCTGTTTAATAGAAAAATTAAAGAGAAAGTATTGTCACATAAAAACGAAGCAACTTAAACAACTTACATTGAAAGAAATGTTTAATAAAGTAAACAAATAAATATTAAGCTTTTTTTTTT